GCATATCATGATGTCATCGCGGGAACCTCGATCGAGCCCATCTCTCTGGTGGCTCTTCCATTATATAATTGTATGTTTTCTTTTCAACATTTTAGATCTAGAACATTAACTGATTAAAATATTCACGTCTGTAGGACCTTGCAGTGCTTTGGAAGAGATTTATCACCGTGCATTTTGCATGTCTTTGCTTTAAATTCTTCTCAAAGTGATAGAGGCAGATACTATGGTGAGCTTCAGGATAAATTTGTCTAATCCCATGTGCGATCGATTGGTTTCTATTTGATAAGAAAATCAGTTCACCGTGGATTTCAATTGCTTTTCTCATTTCTCCGAAGAACCAAATGTATGCGTCATTATTTTCTGAATCTGCTACATCAAAAGATAGATGAAAGATTTTATTGTTTGTATGCTTTGATAGATCAACAGATATAACACCATGATAGTTTGACTTTAAAAATGTTGCATCTACTACAACCACGGGTCTACAGTAACGCCAACCAGCTATTGACGCCGCAGGAGCAAAGAACATGTAAGAAAACCTGTACAGGTGAAACACAAAAAATAAATCATAAGGTGTGAAGTTTTCAAATAGGAACAGTTGAAACTTCAGACTGATGGTTATTATTTTTTTGCTTACCGATTCTGCTGATCTCTTTTTATGCTAGTGTATATCCCTGAGTTTCTATGCACCATCATGTGTAGATATGAAGGAAGAATCTGGTTGTTCTCTTTTGGTGTTCCTCTTATATAAGCAATAGCTTTTTGAATAGCACGTCATGCCTTGTGATATCCAATGTCAATTCTATTTTTTTTTTCATTTCACTTTCTATAGAGGCTGGTGTAACCTCAATCTTTTTATCCCGAACATGTTCTAAAATTTGCTCACTTATAAAATTTGATGTAACATGCTTCTGATCGGATTTTCTTGCATCAACTGAGCATTCATGGTTGTTATGAAATTTTATCACCCTAAAAAGTGTGGAATCTTTGATTCTGGTAGCACGTACATTCCAACCACATTTCTCCACGATGCATTTCAGCTCGTATCTCTTTGAAAATAATCTAACAACAGTGAATTCAACTTTCTGGTTTATCTCCAAGCTACAAAAATATTTAGTCACGCTCTTCTTGTTCTCAAAAATTGATCCTACTTTTATTTCCTGAAGCAATGTATTGTGCCTAAGTATTTTATATAGTGAAGATTCTTTCAGCTCTCTACTCACTCTTTTTCTTGATTTCTTAGAAGCAGTAGAAGTTTTAGTAACTTCTTCAATTGTATCTGCTATTATCGGTATATTTTCTATATTTTTTTTATCTTGGTTGTTGCTTATCATTACAGGAGATAACAAAAAAAATTATTGGAATGTGTGTTGGTTGTCTATTTGCATTAGTTGTCCTTCTTCTTGTTGGGCCTCACCAAACTGGTCTGAATTTATTGTAGTGGCAGGTAATTCTTGCAGTGTTCTAGATTCTGAATCGACTGTAATGTTAGAAGGTTATCGCTCGTTGTCTACTTCCATTATTGGATGTTCTACTTCATGTTGATAATCAACAAGTTATTCTGAATCTATTATATGTGCAAGAGATGGTTTAAATGTTGTAGATTCCAAAGCAGTTATACTGTCAGAAAGTAGTTGTATTTTTTCGACAATAAAATGATAATTCTTGAAATCTGAATCAGTTGTTAGCAAATGTATACATGTTCTGAGTTCTTCATCTAAAGTTATAAGCATCCCTTTGCTTGTCTTTAGTTTGATATCAAACCATACTTTTAGTGCAATTTGGTTGCATTAAAATCTGTGACTTCACCAATTTTCTTGAGGAAAGTGTTGAATGATACTTGTTTATTAACCAGAATAAGTTTTGTATCATGATCCAAGTAGTTGTAATCAAAATTTTATCTCCCATTGAAAGTAATAAAAGGCAAATCGAACTCATCCTACAGTATGAAAACTTCAGCATGTTTAATGTGAAGTGTTAGGAATGAACAAAAAAACTTCAACATAGATAAGTATGATGTTTAGCAAAAACTTATTAGAAAATTACATACTGCATGACAAAATTTCAGCAGGTTTAGTCTGAAGTTTTAGCAAATGAACATAAAAACTTCAACATGTTTAGTCTGAAGTTTAGGAAAAAACTCATTACACAACTACAAAGTGCATGACAAAACTTCAGCATGTTTTAGTATGAAATTTTAGCAAATAAACTAAAAATACTTCAGCATGCATAAGTCTGAAGTTTTGCAAAAACTCATAAGAAAATTACAGACTGCATGACAAAACTTCAGCATGTTTAGTCTGAAATGTTAGCAAATGAATATAAAAACTTCAGCTTGTTTAGTCTGAAGTTTAGAAAAAGACTCATTACAAAACTAGAGACTGCATGACAAACACTTCAGTATGTTTAGTATGAAGTGATAGAGAATGAACTGAAAAACTTCAGCATGTATAAGTCTGAAGCTTAAGAAAAAACTCATTTACAAAATTACGTACTGTAGGACAAAACTTCAACATGGTTAGCTTTATATTTCACTGAAATTTCAGAATTCAACGTGAAACAACTTTATTTTATATCCTTCACGCATTAAATTTGAAGTTTTGAAAAGTTTTTAAAGATCTATAAGTGAAAACTTCATGCTTATCTGTCAAACAACTTCATGCAAGTGTGATTTGTAAATGACCATAAGTGAAAATAACTATAGGCTTTAATTGAATTCATATTTTGTTTTTAAGTTCAAAACTTAAAAAGCATGACGAATTATGAAAATAATTCCAGAAACATATATCATGAAGTTAAATCAGTTTCACAATCTAATGCGATTCTGAAGATGAATTGCAGTACTTATAATGTGTTTTGTAATTTTGAATTCTAAAGATGAATCTGGTTCAAGTTTCTGATTTTTTGATAGAGCTGCTGAGAGGAGAGGAGATCTTCGACCAGGGTTTAAGGAGATCTTTTGATGAGGGAGGGAGTGATGGAGGAGATCTTTTTCACGAATGAGGTTGCTGATCACGCGATTAATGCGTGATACATGTTTTATATCTTTTGTGAGGGGTATAATTGTCATATTATTATAGATTTTTGATCAGCTGGCTACCAAATCAATAATTTTTAAAAATAAGGTACAAGTTAAAAGATAACACAAATATAGGGCACGACTGCAAATTGCCCAAATTAAGGAATATGAATTACCTTTTGCAGAATTGGGCTTGCATCCAGGCGTCAAGCTCAATGAAACGTAGCATATACATGACGAATTAATAAACCAAATTAAGTAACAATTGCATTCGGTATATTCCCAATTTTTCTTTCAAAATTGTAGGATGCTACGACATTGTGAATTTATATTTATCATTACATTTTGCCATACTATAATTTTATTTTCCAACAAACAACTTTACTATATTATATAATAATAGCTCTCAAAGAGTCAAAGGATGCAACTGCATCGTTTACAATCCAACTAGGAAAAGTAGAAACCCAATTAATTCTATGTAATAGCGAAATAGAAAACTTGGCTAAATTATGTGCCAAAACATTCCAAGATCTAGGAATATATTTAATATTTATATCTTCAAAGGAATTTATCATCTTCCAGATATCTTCACAAGTAGTCTCTATCTCCCATGAGACCACTATCCTTTTTTTTATCATATCCATCACATTTTTTGCATCTGATAGAATATGCACCTTTGACCATCCATTTTCTCTAGCTTTTTCCAGAGCTTCACGAATTGCTAGTGCTTCAGCAGTAATGGCTTTCCCAACAAATTGAATTGTGGTGCCAAAGGCTTGAAGCAAATGACCATAGCTATCCATAGCCGCCACTCCAATGCTTGCCATCTTCTTTTCCAATTGTAACCCAGCATCTGCAAACATAACAACACCATCTTGTGCCACAGTGATATTTTTATTATCAGAACAATCAGATGTGTGGGAAGGAGAAGAGATAGTAAACATAGAATTTTCATATTCATGAAAATCAAAAAGTGCTTTGTTTACAATTTCATTAGGTTCACATATATCCCCGTAAAAATTCAACAAATTTCTATTCCAAATTTGCCACATAATTGAAATGCTTAGTTTAACAATTTCAATAGAATCAAGATATTTATTAGCATTAATGAAAACATCATACCACCACGCAGCAAAATCTAAAGTATGTTCTAAGTTAGGCCAACTAATAGGACTTAATTTCCAAACTATCTGAGCTTTATGATATCTAAAGAGCATATGATCAATAGTTTTATTTTCTAAGCCACCAACCTTACATACTTCACATACATGCCTTAAACGTTTTGAAATAGTACAATTAACAGGTAGCACATTCAAAATACATTTCCTAATAAAATGTTTATATTTGTTCTTAATGTTCAAAGACCATAAAAACTCCCAAAAAGCTTTGGAAGAAGAGTGATGACTAGATTGAGGTCTAGCATTGTTACCATCTTTACATCTTGCAATTTCTTTAGCTAAATGATAACCTGATTTAACCTCATAATTACCTGATTTAGAATGATGTCAAATAATTCTATCCAAAGAGCCCGTAGTAGAGATGGGGATGGATAAAATAGCATGAATATCATCAATACAAAATAAATTTTGAAGATCGTGCAACTTTCAAGTATGCGTCTGTTGATAAATAAGGGCATTAACTTGCAACTCTGTATTCACTTGCGTTTGATAATGTTGCAGTCTAAATCCACTAGAATTAGGAATCCAAGGATCAATCCATACCTTAATATTTTCACCTGTTCCTACCCTCCATCGAATTCCTTTTTGCAATAGCTCTCTTCCCCAAATAATACTTTTCCAAACCCAATAACTAGATGATGAAATAGTAGCTTTAAGGAAAGAATTATTTTGAAAGTACTTACTTTTGAGAATTTTAAAGAGTAATGAATCTTGTTGAGTTAAAATTCTCCACGCAAGTTTAGTTAATAAAGCTTGGTTAAAAGATTTTAAATCTCTAAAGCCAATACCACCTTTTGATTTTGCTAAACAAAGATTTTCCCATTTTTCAAAATGCATTTTCCTCCTGTCCTCATTTTGCCCCCACCAGAAATTAGAAAAAATAGTAGTAATCTCTTTGCATAAGCTATCTGGGAATTGAAAACAACATAAAGCATAAGCCGAAATCGCGGATAAGACAAATTTAAGCATTACCTCTTTTCCGGCTGGACTTAGAAAATTATTTTTCCAATCCTTAATTTTGTCCTCACTCTATCCTTAATAAACTCCAACATTTTCTTCTTAGATCTTCCAACTACTGCAGGCAAACCGAGATAAAAGCCTAAGTTATTCCTTTGTAGTTGGCCTAGCTCTGCAATAATACCATCTTTATCACTTTCAAGAGTATTTTTACTAAATATTATCGTTGATTTATCCAAGTTCACCTTCTGTCCAGAACATTCTTCATAAATATTTAAAATTTTAGAGATATTAGTAGCATTTTGGATATTAGCAGAACAAAAGATAAAGAATCATCCGCGAAAAAAGGTGATTTACCGTAAGTCCCCCTCTAACTAAACTTAGACCTTGAATATCCCTTTGGCATTCTGCATGGTTTAATAGTCTAGAAAGACCTTCGGCACATATTAAGAACAAATATGGTGACAAAGGATCACCTTGTCTTAATCCCCTGGTAGGTATCACTTCACCAGCTATTTGCCCATTTATGTTAAACTTGTATGTAGGTGTAGTAATACAAAGCATAATCCAAGTGACGAATGTCTCATGAAAGCCCATTTTCAGAAGCAATTGTTGGATATAAATCCGTTCAACACGATCATAAGCTTTAGCCATATCCAATTTCAAAGCCATGTATTTGTTATTACCTCTTCTTTTATTCTTTAGAAGATGTATAAATTCATGAGATAAAACAACATTGTCTAGAATTTGTCTTTTTCCAATAAAACCAGCTTGATTAGGAGAAATTATCTTAGGTAAATATGTTTTCAATCTACCAACAATAATCTTAGAAATAATTTTATAGATAGTTGAACACAAACTTATAGGTCTATATTGACTATTGACTAATACCACTTGGATTTTTCACTTTAGGGATTAACGTTATAAGAGTTTGATCTCATGAAGGGAGAAGGTAACCTAACTGGAAAAAACTTTTAATTGCTGCACATAAGTCAAAAGAAAGAATATTCCAATATTTTTAAAATAAAAAAGGAGTCATACCATCTATTCCTAGTGCTTTGAGGCATATTAAATACAGCTCTTCGAATCTCATTATCAATAACATCTTTAATAAGACTATCATTTATAGAATTGTCAATCAAAAGAGGAATTAAATTCAAGATGGAATCAAAGTTTGTTGGTTTAGAAGTAGTAAACAATAGTTTATAATATCTTTCTACTTCCTTTACAATATCAACTTGATCGGAGACCCAATGACCATCATCTAATTGGAACCCTTTAATACTATTACATTTTCGTCTCTGAATGGTTTTCATATGGAAAAAGGATGTATTTTTATCTCCTTCATGAAGCCAAAAAGCTCTAGACTTTTGTTTCCAGTATGCTTTTTTATCTCTGTAGGCTTGTCCTAGTTCCTTACGAAGTAGTTTCAGCTTATTAATGTCGAAATTAACAGTATCTTTTCTTAGTTCATTTATCCCCTATCTTTAATACCTTGAATTCGCTTCTTCGAATTTTCCTTACCCACTCTTAGCCAAGCTAACAAAGATACTCGACACTTTTTAATTTTGAAACTAATTTTTGATTGTTCAAAACCTCCCAGATGACTATTCCACGTTTTCTCTATAATATTGTTCACTACTTCCTTCCCACTCCATCTTTTATCAAAGTAAATTTTTTTTTTTCTTTTAATAGAGCTAGGCTCCGTGTTCATTAATAAAGCCGTATGATCAGAAGCCTCCGTTTCCAAGTGAGTAACATGTGCCAGATTAAATTCTAGTCTCCATCTCGGGGAAGTTACAACTCTATCAAGTCTTTCTTGAATAGTACCGTCATTTACTCTAAAGCACCACCACGTCCAAGGTTTTCCATTAAAACCTAAATCTACAGCCCCAACATTCCGTGAGAAATCTCTAAAATAAGTTGTTTCTCTAATCCTACCTCCCATCTTTTCAGAATTATCAATAATATCATTAAAATCTCCTGAAATTATCCACAATGAACCCCAATTATTAGAACTACAGATAAGTTCTTGCATTTGACTTTTACGAATAGCTTTATCAGTACTTAAATACACAAATACATACCAATATTTATAATCCGATAAAGTATCGTGCATATAAGTTTCAATATAAAATGAAGATGAGTTAGATTGACATACCTGAACATCATTGTTCCAAAATAAGCGTAGTCCTCTAGATAATCCTATGGGATCCACTATGTGTAACGACCCGACCAGTAGTTTTGAATATTATAACCCGTTCCCCCATTTACTGCTTCTTTATGTGTTGTTCAGCTGTGTTGAGTTATATTGGGTTAGTTGGTTCGGGACCGGAGTAGTTTCAGAGTGAATTGAGACACTTAGTCTCTTAAGTAGAAACTTAAATTGGAAAAGTCAATCGGATGTTGACCTATATGTAAACAATCTCGAATTTGAATTCCGATGATTCTGTTAGCTCCGTTAGGTGATTTTGGACTTAGGAGTGCGTCCGAAATGTGATTTGGAGGTCCGTGGTAGAATTAGGCTTGAATTGGCGAAATTTGAAATTTGGCGATTTCGGTCGGCAGTGAAAAATTTGATATCGGGGTCGGAATAGAATTCTGAAAGTTGGAGTAGGTTCGTAGTATCATTTGTAATTTATGTGCAAAATTTGAGATCATTCGGACGTGGATTGGTTGGTTTCGGCACTAGTTGTCGAATTTGAAAATTTAGAAGTTCTTAGGCTTGAATCCAAGGATAATTTGATGATTTGGTGTTGTTTTGAGTGATTCGAAGGTTCGACTAAGTTGGTATGTTGATATATGACTTGTTAGTATTTTTAGTTGATGTCCCGAGGGGCTCGGGATGATTTCGGATAGGTATCGGGGAGATTGGACGTTGGAAATGCAGCTGTAGCTGCTGTCCTGGTGTGTCCGCACCTACGGATTGGGCACTGCAGGTGCGGATGGCATGTTGCAGATGCGGAAAATGAAGGCCTGACATTGAGCGTAGGTGCGGAAGAGAGGATTGCACCTGCGAGCCCGCAGGTGCGAAGGGGCATCCGCAGGTGTGAAGCTTAGCGTCTAAGTGACTTTCGCATATGCGCACCTGGGACCGCAGGTGCGAGAAAGGGCCCGCAGGTGCGGAATCCCTGGGGCAAATCCTATATATCACACTTCGCGAATTTTGGTGCGTTCTTCACCATTTCTATTCGGTTTTTGGAGATATTGGTAGAGATTTGAAGAGGGAATCAAGAGGGTTTCGTTGAGGTAAGTTACTTGAGCCCTAATACTTATATATATGGTGATTTTCTGTTGTTTAATCATGGTAATTATTTAAAATGAGGGGTTAGGGCTTGGAATTTTTGGGGAGTAATTTAAGGATTTGAAGGAATAAACGATGTCGGATTTTGATGAATTTGGTATGGTTAGACTAGGGAGAGGACAAGGTTTATTATTCTGCCATTTTGGACTGATTTCGAGAAATAGTCCCGGGGGTCGGGTTTTGGTCGGTTTCGAATTTTTGGCATAATTTGAAAGTTTTTCTTGTGGAATCATTCCATTAGCGTATATTGATGGTATTGTACTGATTGTGAATAGATTCAGAGCATTTGGAGACCGAGTCTAGAGACGAGGGCATCCCTGAGTAGGATCTTTACGTTGTTAAGGTAAGTACCAGTTTTAACTCTGGCTTTGAGGGTATAAACCCGGAGATTTGACATCACGTGATTGTTTGGAAGTGATACCCACGTTAGGTGATGAGCGTGTGGGTGTGCACCGCGAGGTATTGAGACTTGGTCCGTCCCGTCAGGCTGTGAGGCCTAATGGCTATTATCTGTGGTTATGTGTTTATTTGTTATTGAACTTATTTTCCTTCATGTTAGAGATCATGCTTAGGCTTTATTTATGCTCACATTATTTGTACTCAGTCATAGAAATTATTGTACATGTTTACCTCAATCTCTATTATTTGCTAATATGCTGTGATACTTGATGTGGGTTGTGTTCCCTTTTTTGTTGATGATGGTGAGGCTAGTAAGGTACATGATTGAGTGAGGCCAAGGGGCCTGGTTGTGAGGATATTAATACCATAGCGCTTGAGTTGTCCGTGTAGCACGTGAGTTGACCGTGCAAGTCCAGGTATTGATACCATAGCGCGTGAGTTATCTGTGTAGCACGTGAGTTGACAGTGCGGATCCAGGTATTGATATGATGGAACGTGAGTTGTCCGTGCTTAGAGTTTAGGCTTTGGGAGCCCCTTCGGAGTCTGTACACACCCCCAGTGAGCGCAGAGTGTTGAGTGTTTTGAGTATTGAGTACTGAGTGCGAGTGATGAGTGATGGAGTGACACTGCTGCGAGGTTGTATTTATTTGTGTTGTTGCTGCATTTATCTGTTAAACTTCTTTGTGGCATTTACTGAGTTATGGAATTTACTTGTTTATTTTTAAATTGTGAAAATAAATAATTGGACTGTTTTATTTAGCTCGTCACGATTGCTCAGTTCCTTAGTTATTTTTGTATTGCTGAGGTGGTTGTACTCATGCTACACCCTGCACTTTATGTGCAGATTCAAGTGAGTTAGAGCGCGACGATCGTTGAGTTCAGGCCAGCTATCTGTGGAGATTGCAAGGCAGATGCTAGCATCCGTAGGACCTTGTTACTCCTTTTATCATTTCTTCTTTTGGATTGTATTGACAATTAGACAGTTTCATTTCTTAGTTCATAGATTTAGACGCTCATGACTTAGTGACACCCCGATGTTGGGGCTCATTTCCGTATTTCAAAAATTATATTTAGAGTTGATTTAGTTTATGAGAAATTCCAAATGTTGAAATATTTTATTAAATTCTTATAATCGGTTTAGTAGTAATATTTTGGGAAATAGGCTTGCCTTGTAACACGATAGGCGCCATCACGACCATGGTTATATTTTAGGTCGTGACAAGTTGGTATCAGAGCCTAGGTTACATAAGTCTCATGAGTCATGAGCGGGTTTAGTAGAGTCTTGTGGATTGGTACGGAGACGTCTGTACTTATCTTCGAGAGGCTGCAGAACCCTTAGGAAAATTTCACATTCTTGGATTCTTATCGTGCGTTATGTGTATTCTAGTAACTAAACATCTGTATTTTATTCTCTCACAAATGGTGAGGACTCACGCTACCGGTCAAGAGAGTCAGCCACCAGCTTGGTCCGCGAGAGGCCGAGGTCGCGGTAGAGGTCGTGGTAGGGGCAGAGGTGCAACCCATACAACAACTGGGGTTGTACCTACAGATCGACTGGTTATCCCAGATCAGGACCAGGTTCCAGTTGTTGATGCACCACCTCAGGCACCACCTGTGCCTATTGTGATTCCTGGCCTTCAGGTGGCCCTAGTTCAGATTCTGACAGCGTGTACCGGCCTTGCTCAGGCAGTCTCTATTTCGACGGCCGCAGCTACTCTTCAGGCTGGGGGAGGCACTCAGACTCCCGTCGCTCGCACACCCGAGCAGGTTATTCAGGGACTTCAGACACCGGAGGCACCACCAGTCCAGCCGGTTGCAGCTGCACAGGATTATGTGGTTCCTTCTATGCCTGAGGATGATCAGTGTAGGCTGGAGAGGTTTGGGAGACTCCAGCCGCCACCTTTCAGTGGCACAGAGAGAGAGGACGCTCAGGACTTCTTGGACATGTGTCGGAGGATACTCCGTACTG